GTTACTAAAAATAAAATAATAATATATTTAAAACAAATATATGTATTTTAGTAAAAGTATACTTAACTTAATTTTTTTTATAAATATTTGGAACGTATAGAATAAGAAATAATATTAGTATATTTTTCATAGTTTCTATGTTTCAATGGTTTCTACTGTTATTTAATCTGCTGCGAATCTGCTATCGTTCACTTAGCATTTATCTGTCATCTGTTATCTGGCATCTGCCATCACTAGCTGAAGGGCATTTTGGTTCGTGAGCGCAAAGGCGACATCGTCATTGTCAACGCTTTTTGGCTTTGTTTTGCTCTCTTTGGCGACGTACTGCTATGGCTACCGTTAGCATTACCATTCCCCATTCGGCCATTACCCCCCTCCCTTCGCCGTTGCCGCTGCCGTTACTGTTACTGTTTTATTTATTGTTTGCGCTCATTTGAGTCAATTACGACAAACGGAGATTGTTAATTGTTTTGCTGCTGCTGCTGCAGCGGCCGCCGCTCAAGTCCAAGACAAACAAGTCACATCCTGTCCAGTAGGCAATGGGGCAGCACTTGGTGGACGGTGGGCCGGTGGGTCGGTGGGTCGGTGGGGCGGGGGTCGTTGGGCTGGAGATGCGCACTCCATTTTGTTTTCTAGTATTTATTCGTTTGCCTCTTTTGCCTTTGTTTCGCTGCTGATGCTGCTGCGGCTGCTGCTACTCAGCTGTTACTGCTGCTTATTGTTTGGCTTTTGGTCTCTGTTGGCTYTTGTTTGTTTGCTTTTGGCCAATAAACGGTGTCTCTCCTCGCTCTGCTTCTCCCGGCTCTGATCTACAGCGCGTTTAATGGCGCGTTGAATGTTACATTTGCTCAACGTCTACCCCTACATCGACACAGTCACCCCCCTCCGCCAACACTCATAACCCCTCCCTCTCACTCATTCACTCTCTCGAGAGTCACCTTCTCGTGCACGTTTCAACTGTTTTCCTTGCTGCTCGACTTGTTGTTGTCCGTGTCTCTTGCGTAAACTTTAATTGGCTGTCAGTTCATTGAGGTAAGTTTTAATTAATTTTTTTTCGACCATGTATAATGTGTGCGTGTGTGTGAGTAGAGGTATCTTTATCACAAATGGTAGCTTCTTCTATAACCAACTGTATGCGAAACTCACCAGAAACATCAGCAGTCCGGGCAGCTAAGTGGTGCGCCAAGCTAACCACTCAAATGCTTTGCTAATTGTTTTGCCAACAGTTTCGGAACTCAACTTAAAGGTATGTCAATCTTTGGAAAATTACATTTCTTCCATGTAATACTTGGACATAAAAGTTTCATGCGTGGAGATATATACATGTGGTTAATGGAAGTTTAATTTATCGTCTTGAATTGGGTACATTTTGAATTTAAGGTTTTTAGTAAGCTTACGTTCAATTAGCTATTAGCTTAATTAGCTTTCAAGCCCGCCTATTATATACCGACCCATTAACAGATTTTCAAAATATATGTATTTTTTTACATAAAATTATAATATGTTTTTAGGATTTATTACAACACGGGGATTTTGCATTACAAAAAAATATGTCGGTAAATTCTTGAAAGTTTAACATTTTTTAATTTCGTTTTTTTTTTTTAGTTTAACTTTCTTTCGTTTTTTGTTACAGTTAATCAGATCCGCTGATTAGCAGAAACACCTCTAAATGCATTACTTCACAGTTTAACATAGTAGATTTTGTCAATATGTATACATTCACATATATACATACACATGTAGTTCCAAAGTTTTTTAAACAAACATTGATCTCAAAGATGGGCATTTTTCAATTTTGAACTTAAATTAATGGTCCGCAATACATTTCATGAATATTTAATTACTCCAACCGTGGAATTTGTCTTGATCCTATAAGGATATGTAAATATATTAAATATACATGTAGAGAATGCATATTCAACTTGTCCACTTACCGATTTGCCACATTTTCTTAACTCTCTCCCTTTGATGGGCCAGAAGTCTGTGCTCTTTAAATTCGGTGGGCTTTATTTCGCCATACTTATAGCTATCTGGCGGCCTTAACACTTTGGCAGCTTTGCGACTACGTCTGGTCGCCAAATAATCATCTAATTCAGGTAGCTCATCCACGTCAGAATTTATCTGCCTACGCTTATGGAATTTCATGTGCCTGTCTTTCACACTGTCCTCAGTTAAATCATCTTTCGCCTCTGGTCTACAACGTCGCGATGGGTAATCGTGACTGGTTCTCATCATATCAGCACTGACTGTTTCATTTGTATCATCTGTTTCTTGAGCCATGATACCCTTGAGTTTTTTCGAAAATTCCGGAATTGGTTTCTTAACATCATAAATTAACGTCCGTAGCATATGACGTCTCTTTAGATAATGATCTTTCAATATTTCATTAGATTGGCGTATACGCTCAGCAGCCAATTGGTTCTCAAATTGTCGTCCATCAAATGGAACGCCATTTCGTGAATTTTCCTCATTGACCTGTCTGGTCGCTGAAGTTTTACTTAAGACATTCGAGTAATTTGGCACGTTATTTTTTTTCTGCGCATGTCTCTTCAGTTGATTACACGATGTGACATTGCGATGTGGAGCCCAACCTAAAATTACAGTGTCTTAATTATATATATATATTTATATATCTGCATCTGTTTTCGATAGCTACATTGACTAACCTTTTGGGAACCTTTTGATAAATCCAAACAAATTCAAACTATTAATTTTATTGATATTTTTTACAGCCATGGTAAGTTTCTTCGGCTACGCTAGTTACTATGCAATTTTTTTATGAAAAATTTGTTGTCTGACTTGAAATTTTCTACAATGAATATATGTACATCAATCAATTTTTGCTAAGTACGCCTACTGTTCTGGGAAATAAATAATTTAGATGTTGTACCTATTCCTAAGTTTATGAATCGAATTTGTACATATTAAATCCATTAATTTTCTTTCGATGACCAGCGAACGAGTATTTTCTGCGAGCACTCAAAAAATTACGTGTATTGCCTTATTGAATGTCGACGTTGCGCTTCATTAGCGGAATATCCCTAATATTGTCTAATGACTATTAAGTAGACCCAAAACACTGAAGTGCATTAAGTATTTTGTAATATTTAATGTTTCATCTAAAAAGGTCGATTCACCTAAGTTGTCAAGACTTCAATAATCCTTAACCGACCATTCTAATGATGATGATGATGATGATCATCATCATTGTCTCATTGTTGTTGTTATTTTAGTAGCATGTCCTGGTATTGCACCCGAAACGTGCTGCTGTTGCTGCTTTTGGTCCTACCTGAAGCGACTCGTTTAGAAAAATTGCTCACGCACGGGCTCGTTTTGGATAGGTGAGCAGTTGGGCAATTGAGTCCAGCCCACCTGACTTTAAGTGCCGACAGTTTTATGCTGTGGCTTTCGTATCCTCTGATTTTGTTTACCATTTACCGTTCAACATTCTCTACTCTGTGTATCGTTCGTCGCCTGAGCGCATTAAAAGTTTTCTTTTCTTTTCGTTTTTTTTTTTTTTTTTGTCTTCCTTCTTTTCGGTACCGACGATTTGCTTTATTTCGTGCACTTTATTGAAAGCACATCACGTAGTGCACCTGATTTGCTGACAATCCTTGAACATTCTAAATAGGCGGTCCAGCACAGGCTTAAGACTGGACTCAAAGCATCTACCCGAGCTGCATACGAAATTTGTGTAACATTTTGTGGTAGCTCTTTTTTAATTCAGATTAATTGCTTTTGGTATATTTCAGAAATATTTCAAAATTATTTCATTCGCGGACCGCAAACATCAATTTACGCGACCCCAATGATGTCGAATATTTTGTAAAAGAGTTTTTAAACTCATTGCCAATGATAATAATAATGGTTACCCATTGAAAACGGAAATTCAGTATACAATGGTATTATGCAAATGTAACAGGTCGCTGGATGCGCTTTTAACATTAATGATAGCGAGAAGTAAAAGGGGATTTTGAACAAATCAGTTAGGTATGATAAATTTTGAATAATAAAATAATACAGACCAAATTGAAGTCATTTAGAAATTTATTTGAAAATGCATTACAGGCTTTACAATATTAGTCTTACAATCATTTGACAAATATTTGTTTAGTGTGCAAAAAAACAAATGCTCTCACATTATAAGATAAAGATCTCAGAAAAATATTGACGGCGCTGAAATATCGACATTCCAATGTTTCATCTTTAATTGATTTCCAACAAGAACCTTATTGAAAGCCAATTTGTGGTATTACATAGATACATATATACATATAAGTTTAAATGCAACACTTATACACACAAATGGGTAGCACTTGGGTTTGTACCCAACCTTGTTTCATTTCAATCGACTGGTCATGCCTTAGCTTAAGTTTGGCCTGGCACCTGCTTATTGAGCAGCAATCAACAAGCTACTGGAGTTCAGCTCAATACCTTCATCAGCCAAGTGCTGTTGTTGACTCGGTTGTGGCAACGCATGTGAACGTCAAACAAAACTGTGCATCATTTTGGCTAATTGGTTTGCTACATCCTTCAAGACTGATACGCATTGGGCATATGTGTTTGTGGGTTTGTAGACCTATTCTAGTATAATTGAATAGATTTCACGTTCATTTGCGATGACTTTCCTATCCCCTATTTCCGCTTAATTCTTATTATAAGTTGAGTTGCTCTATATATATACGGAAATGAGTTGAAAGTAATGATAATAGAAAATAATTTTTGATAATTATTATTTATTTTTTATTTTTTTTTTTTTTTAATTAGTTACAGAAAAGAATTTTTAGTTATATGTCCATATATGTTCATTTAGCATTGTTCAAGTCCAATGCCGTAATCTACACATATGATTGTGAAGTATATCTTCGTGGCAGGGTGTGAGTACTCCCCGAGGGTCCTGCATTAGCATGGATAACAGCAGCATTGTGGGCAGCACATGGTACAGCAGGGGCTGCAGCACGCGTTGCAACACGGACTGCAAAAACGCATATAGATGGGATTGCTGCAGGGGCTGCAACACAAGCTGCAGCACGAACTGGAACACGGACTGCAACACAGCTTGCAGCAGGAGTCGAAACAAGGAGATCACATCTTGTCTAGAAACCATAAAATTAAATTAGAATTGTAATAATATAAAAGTGCATACATATATACAAACCTTACCCATCGAGGAACCACTTCACATAAGTAGATACGGCATATTTGCTATCGAATTGTGCGCGTATTGATTCGAGCGTTAAAACATCTCTTCGGGATTCACACAAAAACGATCTCACAAATGTTTAACTACTGAAAAGACTAAAACCTGCAAGAAGCGTTAGCATACTTTATCTAACTATTTTATTTTTATTGAATTACTTACATGCTTACGGACAATCAAAAAGTATCACACAAACACCCACGTACATGTAGATGTTTATGGAGCGGCAGTCCTAATAATTGTGTATGAAATTTGTTGTGCTATGCCATAAAGTTGAATACCTCATGTCAAGGCTTGCTTATCAGATGACTTTTTGTTATAGCCTTTCAACTGTGAAATATGTATACTTCGACGACTATAGAAATGGATTTCCGTTCCTAAAATAAAGCAAATATTTTATACTTAAATTTCGTTGACCTATGCAAAGTTAAATTACTGTCAGCAGTAATATATATAGCCAAGAAACTTTTATTTTTCAAACTGATAAATACCTAATAATTTGGACAATGCACAATAAATGGAAAATGACATTCCACATTCAGACATAAATGTACATATGTGACAGACACATAAATTACATTGGTTGCTTTAGTTTAGAGATTGCAGTTCATTGATAGCGCGAGGAACTGTAAAGGCACACGTTAGCCTTATAAGTTAAAGAACTCGTATATAAGAAGCAAAGTTGAGCTAAATAAAACTAGTGATTCATGGTCGTTCGCTATGGTAAGTTCTGCTCACAAGTTCT